CTGCAGCCTTCGACCTGCTGGGCTCCGGCGATCCTTCCGCCTCAGCCTTCCAAGTAGCTGGAACTACAGGTGCGCGCTACTACGCCCTGCTGATTTTTGATTTATTGTAGAGATGAGGTCTCGCCAAGTTGCCCAGGTGGGTCTCGAACTTGCAAACTCAGGCAATACACTCACCCTCAGCCTCCCAAAGTGCTGGGATTACAGGCTGAGCCACCAAGCCCGGCTGAAATCCGTCTTCTTGGGTGAGCAGAGGAGCCTAGTCATGAAGTCTCCCCTGGGGCACCTCCAGCCTGCTTCTTCCAAGTTCTTACAAGTGTTCACCATTCTCCCAGGCAGGTCCTCCTCCAGCCAAAGAAAGTCTGCTTCATAGACCCTCTTGTCTGGCAGTTTTCTGATTCTCAATGGAAACTTACAGCACGTGGTGGAGGTGTGTTCTAATTCCCATTGAAAGCCAGTTGTATGGATGGTGGCCACCCAGCCTGACACAAGAAGAGCCTGTGGTGGTGACAGGGACCCCGGAAGAGCCCTGGCTAAGTGTGAGATGTCAGTAGAGGGCCAGGGGCTTTCCTGTGGGTACTTGACACCCTGGGGGACAAGACCCAAGGCTCCAGGGAGAGGTTTCGCTTACTCTCCTTCTCTCTTCCTGTGGCCTGTGTCTGGATGATCCCCCAGGAGCCATCAGGTGTGTCCTTTCCCTACTGTCTTTTTCCACAATCTCATACTGAGCCTGCAAAGCCTCCCTGGTCCAAGGTTGGCCCTTGCGGTCCCTGGTCTGGCTTCCCCAGGTAGCCCCAGGCTGCTATGAGGATGGGCAGGGCAGGCAGGGAGAAGGGCTGCCCCGAGGACAGGGAGGCCTGTTCACGCTGCTCTGCCGGCTACCACCAGCAGCTCGTGGCCTCCCAAGTGGCAGAGAGTGGCTCCTATGGCCAGACTCTCTGCCCCAGGCCTCTTCTCCTAATCCGAACACAAGGAGTGGTCTGTGACTTAGGGAGGCACTCAGGTCACGAGCCCCCACTGGGGACAGCCTCGAGAGTGTGCACAGTACATGCTGTGTGTCCTGCATGGCCTGTGGCCTCCACACCACATAACTTGGTATTCGACTCTTTTCTAAAGGTAACCAGAGACCTTGGTCCTCAGGATCTTAAAAAAACAAACAAACAAAAAACCTAGTCGCAGTTTCTTTTCCAAGCTCTTCGATGAAAAATACTTTTGTTCTTTGTTCCTAAAGCTCCAGCTGCCTGTGGTGCCAAGCCAGTTCTTGCCACACACGGACTGTTACTAGTAAGCCTAACCACCTGGCTAAGCTGTCCAGTCTGGGCGGTTTCTACGGTCGTCTCTTTCACAGTCGCCTCAAACATCCTGAGAGCCGCACAGGCCCAGACCGCTGAGCAGCGGAATCCATGGCTGGAGGAGGGGCCTTCCAGGCCTGGTTGCAGGGAGCTGAGCAAAGTCAGTGGCAAGCAGGGACCCCAGGGTGGGACTGTTCTCAAGAGCACATGACCAGCTCGGAGGCTTCTCTGGCAGGCGTGGCCTCCCCCTGCTACTGTGCAGTGCTCCTGATGTGATGGGCCCTATTAGCAACAGCATAATTTAATCTGGTGGTCTAACCTGGGCTCTTTGCTCCCAGAGGACCACGTGCAGGGCCTAAATGGACTCTCCTTGGAAACAATGAAATGAAACCACACAGCCACAAACACAAGGAAAGCCCCAGAGAATGGGACAGATGCTTTTCGGCTAAGACTTTGATGCAGCAAAAATGAAGCCGTTGGAGCAAAGATCAGAAGCCACTAAGGAAGAGGAATGCCAGCAAGGATGTCGCCTAGTAGTTCCACCACCTCATGAAGCCAGTGCAGGAAGATGACGCTGGAAGGCTGTCCCTGCCCATCGAGATGGCACCAACCATCAGGGAAGCATGGCTTCTTTTCAGAGATGAACCTGGGTCCCGATGGAGACAGATGCCAAAGCATCTGCTAACTCAAGGAAGAAGGAAAAATCAGTGAGCCTTTCAGGGCCCAGGGAGAACTGTCAGGGCGCCCGGAGAGCCAGAGCCCAAGAGAAGCCAAGACCTGTGTCTCAAGCACAGCCTCGGCTGGGTGACAGCCCAGACTCTCGGACCTGTCAGAGAACAGGCAACAGACAGCAAAGACGGTGCCAGGAGGGTGCAAAGTCAGAGAAATATTTTCAGATTGGATGAAGAAATAGTTTGTTTCTGAACAGGGAATAAGACAGGCAGTTCCCGTGGAGGAACAATGGGACAGACGGAGAGACACACACAGGTCACAGAGGTGGCCCAGGAGAGCCACCAAATGAAAAGCCAGCAAAAGGGGCTCTGAGCAGCCAGGTAGCAGGGCCCATACTGTGCACATGTGAGACAGCTGCCTGCTCTCTCTAGTACGAGTCAGGGTGAGCATAGAAGGCAGTATGACACACAGAAGGAAATCACACAGCTACAGAAGAGCTTGATGTCACTCGCCTCACCCAGGAAGGGACAGACGCCTGGAGAAGGTTGGCGAGCTGCTTGCCACAAGGGCCGTGCTACCTGCTTTGGCCAGCTCAGGAGCTGCGTCTTCCGTGGGCATCTTGCTGGACCAAGTGCTGCTGGTTAACGGTTTTTGAGGTCTTCTGAAGCCTCGAGTATAAACACAGAAAGGTCCAGCAGGAGGAGCAAGCAGCTCATTCATGTCCCAGGGTTCCTGGAACAACAGTCTAGTCTTTTCTTTTTCGAGTTGGGGTCTCATGCTGTCACCCAGGCTGGAGTGCAGTGGCACAATCACAGCTCACCACAGCCTCCACCTCCTGGGCTCAGGCAATCTTTCCGACTAGCCTCCCAAGCAGCTGAGACTACAGGTGTGTGCCCCCATGCTCAGTTAATTTATATATATATATGAGATGAGGTCTCAATATGTTGCCCAGGATGGTCTCGAATTCCTGGGGTCAAGCAATCCTCCCACTTTGGCCTCCCAAAGTGCTGGGATTACAGGCGTGAGCCACCGTACCTGGCCCAGTCTAGTATTTTCTAGCTCTATTTGTAATTCTCTTGGATTGTGGAATACAATTCTTTTTCTTTCAAAGGACCGTTTTTGTGGCTGACATGTTGCACAGTGGTAACATATATACATATATGGGTCCTTAGAGGCCTCCAATCTTGTAAAAGAGGCCAGGAGAGTTTAGATGGTTTAAATACATAGAATCCAGTTTAGGATGGTAAAAACTCCCATTATATGCTTAATAAAACTCTTAGAGTCAAGTAACTAATTGTAATGCCTGTGCTCTCTTTGGAGGATGCTTTGGTAAGAAAAGTAAGGAAGATGCCCTTAAAAACCCCAGGGCATAGTGGTCTTTGGAGGACATATTTAACTGGGGAGTTTTCCTTATTAACACCATGCAACTCAATAAGGACATGATTTCTGCAAAGAAATCTGTCCAAAAGATACCACTGGATCTCAAGAGGGAACTGGTTTTACACAACCATGATGGGGACTGAGGGCTTTGGTTCCAGATTACAAGAATGTAGGTCAGAGCAGAAAGCCATATTGCTCCCAGGGGCCTAAATCCTGGAGCAGCAGGGGAAGGCTGGAACCTAGCCCAACACTGGGTGCTTAGTATTCCAGGCTGCCTTCAGTGGCCCAGGCTGTCTGTTCTGAAGAAATGGGTGGCAGGATGAAGGCCTGTGATCCTTGTCAAGCCTGAGCAACAGAAAGCACAACAGCACTTTGAGGCAACTTCCTCCCAGACCTTCAAGACTTGACCGCTAAGTCCCGATCTTTAGTTTTCTCAAATAAATGGGTTGATCTTACCACTGACGGCTCACTGAGAACTGAGAAAAAGAAGACTTAATAGAACTAAAATTTGACAACTAGCCAGGCTCATGTGTAAATCATTTTGCAGAGAAGACACTGGTGAGGGGAGGGGAGAGATTGGGAGACGGGCAGGGATGTTCTTTCAAAAGGCATATAATGAGCACCAGGCTAGGTGCCAGGCATGAAAATGAAGACGCTGCTAATCATCCCTGCCCTCAAGGAGCTTGATGCTTATGTTTAATAGATACATATTGGGTTTTGTTTTTGCTATATGGGAATAGTGACTCGGTGGTGCGCCGAGTACCAGGCAGAAATGGAAGAAGTGGTTCTGGCTATGCTAAAGAGGAGATGAGGTCACCTCCAGAGGAATGGGGTGACTTCCAGGAGGCTATGATACGAGTTAGGTCTTGAAAGAATTTTCCACGTGGAGGAGGAAGAGGGG